GACTGGGACCCAGGCAGGCACTTGGGGGAAAGAGTGTCCAAAGGGACGTGCTGCTACATGACAGGAGAGAAGTGAGGGAAGCAAAAGAAACTTGCATGAACAGTACTTGCTGCAGGCAGGTATTGCTAACTCTGGGGCCACTCTGGTGGTCCTCCTGGCTGGGGCTTGGGTACAACATGGCCTAGCCTTGGTACAGGGGGCTTTGAGGCAGAGGTGGAATTTGGGCTCAGTCTTAAAGGGTTGGGAAGACTGTATTCTCTTCATTGAAAAAATAATATACGCTTAGTTTAGAAAATTTGGGAAGATTCAAGAAGAAAACAAGTCCCTCATGATTTTAGTACTCGATGATAGACAGCTGAAGTGTACAGGCTGAGGGGCGTGATCTTTTGCAGTGTAAGTCAGAGCACGTCACTCCTCCACGGCAGGTCTTCTTCCTGCAACCTTCCATCTACGAGAGGAAATCAGTCCTTGCAGTGACCTTCCACGATCTGCTTCCCAGCCCTTCCCCTGTGTCTTCCTCTGCTCTGGTCTGGGTTCCCTGGATGCACCAAGTACTTGCCTTCTTCAGGGCTTTCCTGCTTGCTCTTCCTCTGCCTAAAACCTCTTTTCTGTCATGTTTACATGGCTTGTTCTCTCGCTTGCTTTAGAATTGAGAATGTAGATACTCCAACTTCTGATTTTAGTTGAGCTGCTGTTGAGAAAGGCTATGTGACTACCTGACATGTGAATTTGCTTGGTAGTGTCTGTCTCTTTCTAGTGGAATGTCGGCACTGTGTAGGGAGGGACTTAGCCTGTTCTGTTCCCATGGTATCCACAGTGACTAGAACAAGGCCTGGCACATAGTAGGTGCTCAATTAATATTATTGAATGAATGTGCATACATGCATGTGTGGAGTGTGTGTGCATTGTGGAAACTGAGTGGGAAAGGGCAGTGTGGCCAGAAGCTGGGGTGGGAGGAGACATACAGGATGACTGTGGGGAGCGACCAGAGGTGGTGAGGAAAGAGGTAACAAGTTCAAAGATGGAGACGTGACCTGGAACAGATGACATCAGTGAGACTTGGTAATTGCAGAATTCTCCCCAATTGCTGTGTGGCCTTGACAAAAGCTTCCGGCACTCCTGACTTGGTAGAGCTTAAAATGTCTGTGGTTTCAAATGAGTTTTGAAAGCAGGTGGTGGTAAGTAGGAGCAAGAAAAGAGGAGGGTCCTCCCCAGATTCATTAGGTTGATGGGTCTGGTGGGAAGCGTGTACTGGGCCTGCATCTCACCTCCTATAACCCAGGATTGGAGCCCGTCTGTTCTCCCTGGTGTGATGGAAACCTCCCTGTCCAAGAGCAGTTGTGAGTGCTCTCAGGTTTTCTCCGAACCTACACGTATACCAGCACAGTGTCTGAAATCCATTTGTTCATTTACCTTCTTTCAACTTCATTTTCTGTCTTCATAGTTTTATCTATTCCTCAGAACAAATTGTCTTTGACTCACAAATCCATTTACATTGGATTAATTTGACTGGAAATACTTATTTCTAAATGGTTTCTGTTTCATTAGGCTTCTAGTCTGTTTTTAAAATGGCTTCTGCCAAGATGAGATCAGTAGAGAAGTGATTTTGGTATAATCAGCTTCTTTATGATCCTTTGGTACAAGTTAAGTTTTGAGATTGGTGTTTCTGATGTATTCCTAGAAAAAATTTTGAGTGCCTGCTCTGTGCCAGGTACTGTAGGCATTGGGACTGGAAGAGGGGACAAAATAAACAAAAATCTTACCTTCATGGAGCTCATAGTCTAGTGTGTGGGGGCTTATAGGTAGTAAACAAGTAAAACATAAAGTATGAGAGACGGTAAAAAGTATTATGGAGAAAAAACGAAGCAGGGATGGAGGATAGGGAGCTTTAGTGGGCAGGCAGCTTTTCTAATTTAAATAGGGAAGTCTCACTGATAACAGATATTTGAGCAGAGATCTGAAAGAGTGAGAGAGGCAGCTGCGCATTTATCTGAGGGAAGAGCAACCAGGGTGGCCGGAAAAGCAGAGAAAAAGCCCTTGAGGCCAGAGGGCTGGAGTGAGGAGGAGGGAGGTATGGGAGACGGGTGGTCCCACTGGGCTTGTACCTCCTAGTGAGGGCCTGAGCCCCAGCTCTGGGTGAGATGGGAAGCCCGTGGCGGCTGTGCGGAGCCACGATGGATTCCTCCTTTCTTTTTGGGTGACTGGCTTCTGGTGACTGAAGCAGTGGAGCTCCTTCCATGGCTCTTAGCTCTGCATGGGCACCAGAGTCTGACTCATCCGGGAGCCTTTCCCAGGCCAGCTGCTCGGGCCATCTCGGAGTCCAGGGTCAGCTGGAGCACACATGTGGCTGCTAGGGCTCACTCAGTGCCAGTGCTGTTGTTCTCTAACCACTGGGTGACTGTCACAGCTTCAGATTTCTGGGGCCCACTCCACTCCTGAGTCAGGCTCCAGGTAGGCCCAGAAGTCGGCATTGTTAACAATGTTTTGGGGTGATTTTTGAGGCCAGTGATCCCTGGGCCACATTTTGATTTAAAAATAGTGATTCTCAACCCCAGACAACATCAATCACATGGGCTTTTTTTTTTTTAAATGCTTGGCTCCATCCCCTAGAGATTCTGATTTAATTGGTCTGAGGTGGGGTTAGGGATTAGCATTGCTCCCCAGGTGTTTCTAATGTGCTTCCAGAGCTAGAATCACTAGTCTGAGGCTTACTGGCCTTCGACTCAGTGTTTGATGGAGAGATTTGAATGGGTAACTGGGAGTAAGAGACGTCAGGCCCTCTGGGAAGGCTAAGGCAGGGCCCATCATCTTGCCAGGAATAACAGAAATCTTTCACAGTAATAAAAACTCTTCAGTTTATATATTTTATCTCATTTGATTACCTCACTTCTCTGAGCCTACATTTCCTTGCTTGAAGAGTTAGCGGCTTACATTTAATGGTTTCCTCACTCTGACAGTTGTTAATCTTTCTGGCGTTGGAAGAACCTCTAATCTAGAACAGTGTTCCGTGCACTGTTTTCTCATCTCGGTCTTTCAACACCCTACTGTGTGTCATAATTATGGCAAAGACTATAGTGAATGTCTCATTACCACACTGAAGGAAAATGTGTGCTGTATACAGTAGCACCTTGGGAAGAAGAGGATGTTGGGAATTGTGAAATATGAAATCAGACCTCCTGGTTCAGAGTTCCTGAGTGGAAGGGCAGCTCGGTCCTTGGAGGCAAATGGGAGCCTGAGCATTAGGCTTGGTTCTGCCACTCACTGGTGAGTTCCTTGTGAAGTGGGAGTAGTGTTTTATAAACTGTAAAGCTCCTATAAATCCAAGTTTGTAAATGTGGTTGGGTAACCTGGGAAGAGCAGCCAGCCTGTGTCAGTGAAGCCTGGTGCTCAGGTTTGCCAACCCTTCTCTGTAGCCACGCTGTGTTACTGGACACAGAGGCGATGTGAATAACACGACAGAATCCAGTGTCTGCAGGAACTGAGGCTACCCTGGAATCAATAATGAGGCACACTTATTGGAGCATCTTAGAACTAACTTACGTTGAACATCAGATTGAAGACAGCCCCCTACCTGTTCCCCTGATCTCTATCTTTATTCTCATTTGGACAGCATGGTGTCTGCTGGTTAGTTTATGTTTTGAAATGTGAAGGTCCAAAATGAGAAAAGAAAAAACAGCAGAGAAAAAAAAATTTTTTTTTCTCTATTTCCCTTCTGTAGAATTGGGATAATGAGTTTCCTTCTCGTCCCTTCTAAATTTTTTCCTTAATGTTGTCTATATCTCTCTATGTAGAATCCAAACTAAATGCTGGCCTGTCAAAGTTAAGACAAAAATGAAGTCAAGTGAGGGGATGCAGAATTGGAATGAGAGTGAGTAGAATTAGAAGAGAGCTTTTATTCTGTCATTTGTGGGTACTTGTACCTGATGGACTTAATCAGTTTCTCCACACTGGCCTGCTAACTTGGAATCTTAGGAGGTTGTGGCCAAGCATTAGTAGTTTCCAAAGTTCCCGAGGTGATTCTGATGTTCAACAGGACCACCTAGTTTTAATATCATCTTTTATATCTAATGGTTTGTGTGTCCTTTCACTGCTTATTGTGGATACAGATGATTTCACTACTTTTGTCCTTTAACTTCCCTATTAGTTTGTGTGTGGATGGTTTCCCACCTTTACTGCATGTTTGCCTTTGTTGGAGAGCTTTTCCCTTTCATAATTTTCTTATTTCTAGTTGTGGCCTTTTCTCTCTTTTAGCAAGAACCACCTAGATTTTAGGAAGTGGATTCTGTCAGCATTTCCTGTGTTTTCTCTCATTCTTATCCCCTGTTTGGTGCTTGTCCCTTCCCTGCCTCTCCCCTACCTGTGACTTTCTCCCAGCCTACCTGCCCCGCTGTCCCCTTGCCCACTTCTTGACCTCTGCTTCCTCTGCATCAGCAGCCCTCCTGAGCACTGGAGGATGAGTTGTGAGGAGGGGTATCTGGTCCTCACTTACCCAGTGTTTGTCCCCCGTGCATTCTTCCAATCAGCCTGATGTTTAGGGAAGCAGTAGTCTGCAGGGGTGCTCTGAAAGATGATGAGCTAAAGGTTGCTGGCCACTGAGCTTGGTGGCATAATACTTAAACACATGTGTTTGCTATGTTTAAGGCAGTGTTGTAAGAGCTTTGCAAGTATTAACTCATTTAATTCCTATAACAGTCCCATTTTACATATGGGGAAACTGAGACACAGAAGTGAAGAAACCCACAAGGTCACATGGCTAGTAAGTGGTAGGACTGGGATTTGAACCCAGGTAGAGTCTGGGCTCTGGACCACCACACTACGATAGGGGAAAGGGACAGGATCTGGGACTGGGAAAAGTTTTATCTTTGACTACATTTGAGGCCTGCTTTGAATTTATGTTTGGAGATTTTTCTCAGGGTCTGACCCCCACTTTTGTTATTATTGTTAACTCACTCTAACCTTCAGGCCTATTAAAAAACATTTTATTTTTCTTCTTTCCTTAGGTGGTGTTTGGAAACTAGACCATGTGCCTAGGTAGAAGTTATTCCTTTCTCCACAGCTCTGCACCCCCAGCAACACTCACCACACCCTTGTTTTGAGAACCTCACTGAGGTATGATGTCTAGGCTGACCTGAGCTGGCCTTGAAGAGCTGAGAGTTTGAACACAAGTGATTTTTTAAAAATATTCCTTGGTAGTTACTAATGTTTTTAAAAATTGTGGTAAAACATATATAACAAAGTTTACCATTTGAACCATTTTTAAGCGTACTGTTCAGGGGCATTAAGTATATTCATGTAACTATCACCACCATCCATCTCTGGAACCTTTTTGTCATCCCAGACTAAACCGTGTACCCATTAAGTAATAATTCCCTATTCTCTTGCCCCTTATCCCCTGGTAACCGCTGTTCTACTTTTTGTCTCTATGAATTTGCCTACTCTAGGTACCTCATGTAAGTGGAATCACACAACATTTGTCCTTTTGTGTCTGGTTTATTTCATTTAGTATAATGTGTTAAGTTTCACGTATGTTTTAGCATATGTCAAAACTTCATTCCTTTTTAAAGCAGAGTAATATTCCTTTGTATATTTATATCATGTTTTGTTTATCCATTTGTCCATTGATGGATACTTGGATTATTTTTACCTTTTGGGTATTGTAAATAATATTGCTATAAACATATACAAATACCTCTTTGAGACCCTGTTTTCAGTTCTTTTGGGTATATACCTAGGATTGGAATTGTTATATCATGTGGTAATTCTACATGTAATTTTTTTTTAAGAAACTGCATACTGTTTTCTGTAGTGGCCATATTGCAGTCCTGCCAGCAATGCACCAGTATTCCAGTTTCTCCACATTCTCAGCCACACTTGTTATTTTCTGGGATTGTCTTGTTTTGTTTTGTTTGGATAATAGCTATCCTAATGGGTGTGACCTTGGTGGTTATGCAGTTGGATCCATAGAGTCCACTATCCAAGATACTGGTCCCTAGTGTGCAGAGATGTGCAAATGTAGAGAAAATAATATGATAACCCCCCCATGTGCTCCTCACCCAGATCCAACAGTTATCAATTCATGGCCAATCTTATTTCACTTATATATATTTGCCCTCCCTGCTCGCTTCCTCCTGCCCTGTGCTATTTTGAGGCAAATCCCAGATATCACATCATTTTATCTGTAAACATTTCACAGGTGATATCTTAAAAAGATAAGGACTTTCAATATTCCATTTTGTCTGATGGTAGAAGAGCACACAGGGATGTTCCTTTGGATCATGATTCCCTATCATTCCCTTGGGTCACCAGGGACATAGACAGTGGGCACACATGTGAATACCTGGATGTTGGGTACATTGCCATGCCAGATTGTTGGTAAAAACAAAAAACAAAACAAAACAAAACAAAAGCTTGCCTTGGCTGGTGCCCTGCTTTCCTGCAGGAGGCTGACTGCCCTTAGGTCTGAGCAGCCATGGTCAAAGAGCCCAGCCAGATCTTTTTTGAGAGGAAAGGGAGAGAAGAGGGAGGAAGAAGGGGCTAAAGAAGAACATGCGTGTGAGAGAGTGGAGGGGGGCATGGAGAAAAGGACGGAGGGCTGGAGAGGGGCGTGGAGGAAGGAGTAGGAGGGGAGAGGGATGGGAAGGAGAAGAATATGTATATATGTGTGTGTGGAGGTTCGAGAAAAAGAAAAATGGAGTGAAAGCAGAACACCTGGGGAGGAACCCTCTACCAGGCCCTTGACTCACCAGCTCCTAAACTCCTCGGTGACCTAAGGGAACTGCAGAGATACCCCAAGACTAATAACATGTTTCCCCACCCCACCATTCCCGCTTTTAATTTTGGGATCTTTGGGACTGTAGTTTGCCTGTGATAGATGAGGTTGATGCACTCAGAGCCACCAAACACAAGGGGACCAGAGACAGGGAAATAGTGATTCTGTGGAATGGCTACCTTTTCATGTTTGGGGTCCTTTTGTTCAGGGAGTGGAGACTTGGTTCCCAGCAGGACTGAGACTACTGACTTCTTGCTTAAATTTGGGGGTCCCTACCACCAAGAAATGATGCTTTTACAAAGCTCAGTGGGAGGGACTCCTCAAGGATAGCCTGTGAACAAGAGGAGTCCTGTTCCCGTCTTTTCTGTCTCTGGGTCTTGTTCCCTTTTAACACAGTGCAGTGCCCAGTTAGCCCTGAGATCTGTTTGCACATAGTGAAAGGTAAAGGGAGTACAGGTTACCAAGTGTCGGTTTTTATCTCAGTTCTTAGCTCTGCTCAAACTTTGTTGCCTGTGCCTCGATTCCATTTGTATCATCTCAGTCAGCTGTACAGTCTCGTACGATCCCAATTTCTTTCAGTCCTATCCCCTCTTCTCCTTTTATCTTTTCTAAAAATATAGCAGCTTTATTGAGATATAATTCACATGACATACAATTCACTCATTTAAAGTGCATGATTCGATGGTTTTTACTATATTCACAGAGTTGCAGCCTCTTAAGACTCAATACCACCCTGTGCCCTCTTCTTCCCTGTGGTTCTCATGGCCAGCCTTCTCTCTCCACCGGCGTCACACTGATCCCATCCTCAAGACAGATGACTTTATTGTGGGGACATTGGCCGGTAGGCACTTTCCACCAATAAAATATTTAACTTCAACAGCCCTGCAGGAGCCCAAGATTCATAGACAAGTGCTCCTTCAGATAGACCCTTTCCCACTGGCAAGGTCTTATCACCACTCAAGATCTCTCTATGTATAAAAAGTTTTAAAAAGCAAAACACAATTAACATTGCAAGTTAGCCAGCTGCTTGACTGGTAATAAGCCTGCTTAGGAATCTGTGACTATCCTTCAATAATTTTACCTCTGGACAGATGAGAACTTTCTAATGGTGGATTACCTTCTAGTAAGCATCCTGGAGCTTATAAACAGACAATAAATGAGCTATTGTATTATGTGTCAGGTAGTATAAGGGCTGTGAAGAAAAACAAAGCCGACTAAAGGGACAGAGTTTGATGGTGAGGGTGGGGATTGGTATCTTATGCGCAATGGTCATAGAAGGCTCCTGACTAAGTGATGTTTGAAAAATACCTGAAGGAAGTGAGGCGTGAGCCCACAGAGGTCTGAGGGGGAAGAACATTCCAAGCAGAGGGAATGCAGACTCTGAGCAGGAGCATGCCCTGCAGGCTTGAGGAGCAGTGAGGAGCCTGGAGCAGACTGGGCAACAGAGAGGTCGAGGAGACAGAAGGTCATCCTGGCCTGTAGGCTGGGGTGAAGACTGGATTTTACTCTGTGTGAGGTGGGATGATGTTGAAGGGTTTTGAAGAGAGGAGGAACGTGATGTAGTGGATGTTTTAAAAGCAGCGCTCTGGCTGCTGTGTTGAGAGGGAGTAGTGGAGGTGAGGATAGAAGCAAGAACAGGAAGGCAGCTTTTGTGGGAATTGAAAAGGAGGTAGTTGGAGGAGATGAGAGATGTTTGGATTTGGATATATTTTGAAGGCAGGGTTGACAGGATTTGCTTATGGATTGGGTGAAGGGTTTGAGGGAGAGGACTCAGGGATGCCAGGGTTCAGCCCAAGCAACTGGAAAGATGGAGTTGTTGTTTACTGAAATGAGAAAGGCTGTGGGAGGAAATCAAGAGTTAGATTTTGGACATGCTAGATTTGAGATGCCTATCCAAGTGGACATCCAAGTCTGGAGTGGAGGGGATACCAACTAATTAATAATTTAGTGTATGTCTATTGAAATAGCAGAAGAGGGAATATTTTACTGAAATATCTACAGTAAAGGTAGAAAATTACACCATGAGGAGGAATAAGTGAAACAAAAGGGAGTACAAGGGAGGGTGAGGTGGCTTCTGACAAGGGCAGCCAGAGAAAGTCCTCCCTTCCTTGCCTGTAGGAAGCCTGTGTCCCCTCGATGAGCCTCCAGTGGCCCCCACAGGTGTGTGGCTGCTGGGCGTTTTCAGTGGGTTGCATGGGGGGCACTCAGGAACAGAGTCTGTGTGTGCCTTCCCTTTGTGTCCCCAGTGCCAGGAATACATCTTGGCATTTGGTAAATGTTTGATGGTTGAACTTCCCCTTTCTGAGCCTCAGTTCTTCATGTATAAAATGAAGAGGTTCGACTAGACCAGTGCGCTGGAATCAACTGGGAAGCTTTTTTCAAAATGCAGGGATCCACCCCAGAACTACTGAATCAGAATTTCCACAGTGGAGCGTGGGGTTCTGCATTTTAAAGTCACTCCCCCATGTTATTCTTTTGCAGTCAGTCCAGCAGCAGTCTGCAGACGGGCGTTTGGAAACCACTGGACCAGGTCATTTCTGAGGTCCCCTTCAGCTCTAACATCCTGTGAGTCTTGTTAGAATGCTTGCAATGTAATTCTCTTCTTGGGAAATGGAATTTTTGGTTGGGGTGGAAGGGCCTGGAGGGGGAGAAGAAAAGCTGCCTCTGGGTGAGGGGCACCTGGAGCAGGGCAGGCGGGGGCAGGGGCATCAGTCAGGGGTTTGGAGGGGCCTCTCAGAATGGTTCTGGGAGGGGTGGGGGCAGTGACAGCCCACAGGCCACCAGGTACCAGGTCTGTTAGGTCTTGAAAATATAGGTAAGGACATGACCCCACTTTTGGAGAGGCTCACAGACTGATAAGAAAACTCAGGATCCCAGCCTGCTGTGGGAAGTGCTACCACAGACGACGGGAGAAGAAGGCGGCATCCAGGAGGAGGGGCCCTGGGGCAGGAGCTTGGGGGTGAGAAGGAGTTCTCAGGCCACTTTGTGTTTGGGGCTAGTCAGGAGGAACAGCTTGGACTCTGACATAGAGGCATGAGAAATTCTGAGAACCACCAGTGACCAAAAGGTACCCTGAGAAGTGGCTAGAGAAGTGGGCACAGACCAGATGGGGATGGATTCTGCATGCTAGGAGGAGTTTGAGCTCTATCCTGAAGGTGATGGGGATTTTGAGCAGGGACATCTCTGTGATCAGATAAGTGTTTTACAGCAGCCATTCTGGCAAAGTGTGCATTGGAGAGGCCAAGACTAGGTAGAGGGAGACACGTAGAATGCCTTATTGTTTTGCCTGAGTCCATTGAGGTGCCTGTTTTCTTGTATCCTGCTGAGAATCTCTTTATGCTAGTTTTTGCTAATGATTAGAAAACCAGGTGCCTCATGAAATGAAGCATTGGATTGATTCAGAATACCTATGACTTGGGGTCAGACCTACAAGCAGGCCTAAGATGTGTATTCAGGAGGGCAGTGGTATGTATGTGGCAGAGTCTGCTTGTCCACTTTAGGAGTTAAGTTTTATCCAATAGAAATCCAATAATTCTAGATTAATTTGCCCAGCTGTTGTAGCCTAGCCTGCTCAAGGACTCAGAGATCTTTCAAGTTAGTTTAATTTTATGTATTAAACCAAGACCTGCCCAAGATCCTCACACAGGTAATCAGTGACAGCTCAAGGGTGAAGACTAGTTTTCTATGGTTCATAATTTCTTTTTCTTTTAGCTCTACTGTTCCCAGTCTGGGGCTTCATTCTGGGTCCAGGAACATGGAACTCTTTTTTTCCATTTCCTTTGATCCAGCTAAGGTTTCACTGAGCATCATTTTCTACCAACCATGGAAGCAGTGTCTCTTTCTGACCAGTGTTCCAGCCAGAGTCTGGACGAAACCTCCTACAGGTCATGGAGCAGCAGCTTGCTCTGGTGCTTCCTTCCCCCTTGCCCTCTTCCATGTCTGGTACAGAAATTCTCCCACCTAGGAGCCAGCTCAGGTACTTTCTTAGTGTCTCCCAAGTGATCTCGCTCTCTCCCTTTCTCTTTCTCTCTCTCTGTTTCATACAGCCTGAGTTATTTTTTGCTCTGTTGTCCCCTGGGATGCTACTTCTAAAATAGAAAGCTGAGGGTAACTTTTATTTATCCATTTTTAAACTCTTAACTGTTACAACAATAATTGAACACAGATTATGTCAATATCCAAGCCATATTCAATCATGTGGGGGAGCAGGGTAAAGAGCTCACTTACATGTTGTAAAACATACATGTATACATCCTTTCTTTCTAGTCCTCATCCAACAAGCAATGGCAAATTCAAGGAAACTTAATTTTGTTGTCTTACAGCACAGTGTTCCTTAAGGCATGCAGTCTTTTACTTTCACTGTCTAAATCCGTGACATATTATTTGCTTCCATGTCTCATTAAACAGAATATACTGAATAGAGATCAGATTTTTCTTGAATTTAGAGTGCCTTTGCCTCCTTGATGTCCTGTTAGGGAACTTTTATTAATCTGTCTCACTGAACTTCATATTGTTAAGAAACGCAGATAACCAAGCTTAATGTCATTTGAAATTCAGAGGCTTCAATGCTGAGAGAAAGAAAACTCATGGGTTTAGTGACACTACCTTGTTCTTAGTTCCTTAAAGCCTTTAACATTTTTTTCTAGATTTCAATAAGCATGGACGTTACTATATTTTTATATTTAAGTGGTAACAATTTCAGTGTATTTTCTGACCAATGGATAAAGTAATTTTTTTTTTTGGTCTAAAACTTTTATTTCAAACTTTAAAAATACTGCCCTCTCCTCTCTAGTGTTTTGAGGTTTGATGAACAAATCTTTACTTCATTTATGCCCCCTACCCTTTTCCCCTAAGTCTGTATCTCTTCAGGATAAAATAGAATTCTCATTAGAAAGCTCTCCCATCTACTCAGTCTCGTTTCTCAGGACCTCTTCCAACGCTGGTATGTGTTTCTTAAGGTGTGGTGAACCAAAACTGTGTAGCACATCTCACTCTGGACACTGAGTGGTGGTTTTTTTTTTTAAGCAGCTTTTTTTCTGAGGGGGGAGATAATTAGGTTTGTTTATTTGTTTGTTTGTGTACTTATGGAGGTACTGGGGATTGAACCCAGGACCTTATGTATACTAAGCATGCACTCTACCACTGAGCTATACCCTCCCTGCCAAGTGGTTTTGAATAAGGGCAGGATCACAAGTTTTATTTTGTTTCCAATATCCTTTCTGAAAGTGCTCAGTATTTTCTGAGCCTTTTGTAATGAAACATGCAATGTGGTGTCTTAAGGGAACAGTCTAAGCTGATACCTCTTTATTGAACAGTTTAGCTTAGAATCCATTATTCTAAATGTATAATTGAAATTGCTTTTCCCTAAATGTTCCTTCACATTTGCCTTCACTGATGCTCCGTTGCCATAATTTCTCCTGTTCATATGGCCTCGTGAGAATTTGTCTTTTAATTTCACATTTTGATTTCTGGAACAGCTTTAAGGCCATTTGCAGTCTTGAAGGTTTCATTTTATTGCTTCAACAAATATTTATTGAGTACCTAATGGAGAATGCAGTGATGAATGAGACAGATAAGCTTCTTTCCTCATGAATCCTACAGCCTAATGTTTTTCTGCTAGATTACTGGTTCCCAAAGCATTTTGAGTATGAGACCTCCTTTTCAAATTAAGTTTTTCAGGGGCTCTCATTCAGTAGTGATGCTTTTAATGGCTGCTCATTGGAAACACATTTGTGGTTATGAAATTGGGACCCCTATGGGTGGGGAATTACCATTCTAGACAGTTTATGAAAACATTAAGCTCCAGCCCAGAACTGTTCAGTGGGTTAAAAAACGTCATTGTTCATAGTTCCCCATAAAGGACAGTCACATAAGGATACATGCACTCACCCTCACAGCAACAACATGGAATTCAGTTTGTTGTTTTCTGGTGGAATTTAGACATTTAAAGTCTATAGAAATTCTGTCTACTGTTCTGCCATAATCATATTGTTTGTATCCCCTCAAAGAATTCTAATAGGTTAATTAGGCCTGATGAAGCCCTTTCACAATTACAGTGTTCCCTCCCTCTCACCCAGTTGATTCTCTTTCTTAAGTGTTTGGTAAAATTTCCTGGGCAACTAGTAGACACTATAATAAAAATAATGGGAATTTATATTTACTTTTTTTTTTTTTTTTTAAGTTTCCAGATATTCCCTGAATAGAAACTTATCTTGAGAGAGGACATAGTGTCAATCTGTCAGTCCTGGAGTTGTTCTTTACCCACAAGGGGGGTTGCACATATTGTGGCATGGTTCCACCTTTGAGTGAAATTTGCTGTCAGCTTAGTCCCCAGAGAACTGGTGAGCCTGCCTTCCCTGTTGACTAGGCCACTCCAGACCACTTGGTAAGCTCACCATGCCTGGATCTGCTTGATTAGGTGCTTCAGGGTGAGCCCTGCTGAGTGCTTCGGAGGGTGGGCCATGATGTTCCTGGACATGGGGCAGGGGCCATCGCCAGGCTCTGGGTCCTGGGTACTGCCCCCAGGCAAGACAGGCAGCTAGCTGTCTGTGGTTTGCTGTTTTCAGCTTTGGCTGCCTGCAACAGTTGCAGACACTGGCGTATGCTGAAGCTTATTATTTTGACTACACCTTTAATTTTAGTTAAGATACTTCACTGATTGTCTAGCAGGCAGTCCCTTGCTGAGTCATGCCAGACGTGCTTTAAGAGTTGTATAGTAATGATTTTTAGGTCCCTCTGTAAGAAACTTCTCAAATTTTCTGGCCTGCCTAATTTCTTCTTCTTTTTGAATGTTAAAAATATAATTTAATAAAATTACATAAACAGTACAATTTGAAAGAAGTAGTTTGAATAATTTGAAAATGCAGATAAATAAAAAAAAAATCTCATCATCTGTTGAGGTACTTTTGACATTTTACAGTATTCCTCCAGCCTTTCTCATGAAAACTATATTTAACATTTTTTGTTTTACATGGAGATGGTACTATGTATACATTTCAGTATCCTTTTCCCTTCATTTTATATTAAGAGCATTTCTCATAGCCTTAAATATTGATCTGTAATGCTGCCTAGAATTTTTTTTTTTTTGCCTAGAATTTAATTGTGTAAATATACCATAATTTATAGAACTAGTTTCCTACTGTTGGAACTTCAGGTTGTGTCTCATTTTTTATTATAAAATAATTGTGTTATAAATAATTATATAATGATTATCTTTATCACATACATCTCTATTTCCTTAGGATAAATATCTGAAAGTGGAATTATTGGGCCTTATGTACACATAGCTAAATTACTCTTTAAACACCTTGTGTTAATTTTGGATACTTTCAAAATGCTCAATTTGCCACATCTGTGCCAGCACTGGGGATTATTATTTTTTGAAAACCTTGGTCAGTTTAATAAGTCAAAGATGTTTCTCATTTTAATTTGTATTTCTCTAATTTCTTGTGAGGTTGCAACTTTTGTTATGTATTAATTGTCTGTTTGTGGTTGTTCTTTTTTTAATTGCCTGCTCATCACTTTTTCTTATTTTTCTAGTATGTTGCTTATCTTTTACTAACTAGTTTTAAAGGGCCTTTTATATATTAATAAAGATATTAATGATAGTAACTATCATAAGTTGCAAATATTCCTTTTGGTTGTTTGTCTTTTAACTATGTGCTGGCAAGTTTTTGATGAATAGAACTTTTTATTCATAGTCTTTTTCTTTACAGTTTCTCTTTTGCTTTTTTAACAGGTTACATTTTGATTAATTTCTGTTTTCTTCTTATAAACAGTGTGATACTTTAGAGCAAAGTTTAAAGAAATACAAACACTTAGGTTCCCTGTGAGTCCTTTATTCACAGGTATCGATTGCTGCTGTTTTAGTTTTCCTTACTAAGGCTAACCAGAAAACAAGGCTTGATCTTTGGCTTTTAAAAGTGTCAACTTTGGTATTTAAAATTCAAAGGTTATAAAAGTTTTTCCTGCTGCTGATGTTGAGCTGCCATACCATTTATTAGCTCTGGTTTTCCTAGTAAAAGATACCTTTTCCTCTGACCATTCTCAGTCAGTCCCTGAGCTTTCTCTGTGTGGAGAACATTACTTTCTTCAGATGTGACATCTTGCTTCAAGCCCCTGTGACTTTGAGTTAGACAATAGTTGCCTCCTCGCTAATCCTTGTACACACCCCCAACTACTACTCCTCCTCCCCCAGCTGCTTTTCCCAGCTCCTTAAGACAACCTAGCTATTCCACCCTTCTCCCTCAATCTTTTTTTCCTACACAGTAAAAATAACAATAATAATAAAGAAAAGGCGGTAGGGGAGAGAAGCTTATAAAGCAAATATCACACAGGTGTTCCCTTGCAGTTGCGATCGTCCTGCATAGCAGTTCTTCTGGTATTGCGAGGCTGATTTCTTCCACTTATTTCCAATATATTCCCCTCCAACACTTCCTATTCTACAAGACAATCATTTGTTGTCCAGTAACTTTATATCTCATTTCAGTGAGATAGTCTGCCAACCCATATTTAGTTAAGATAACTGGTATTTCAGGGGGGAGGGTATAGCTCAGTACGTAGAGTACATGCCTAACATGCATGAGGTGCTGGGTTCAATTCCCAGTGCCTCCATTAAATAAATAAGTAAAAAATAAACCTAATTACCTCCCCCTATTAAAAAGAAAAAAAAGAAAAAAGGTAATTAGTATTTCACTTCATTGTTATCTCTGCCATAATTAGATTCTTACCAATGGAGAGTCTATTTCATTTTCTGTGGGAACTCTTAAGAAGGCAGATAGATGTGTTTTACTGGGGCTTGGTGGGGTGGGACAAGAAACCAAACCTACAAGCCTGTGTTGATCCCATAGGGTGGTAACAGATATACTTCTGCCATGCCAAATGCTCCCCTGTGGTTCTAAGTGGTTTTTTTTTCTTTATTTTCCCTTTCTAAACTTATAAAAATAATCTATCAGCACAAAAAAAAAGTTATGAAAAAATAATCCACCAGTAATCCTACCACTCTGCATAATTAATTTTCTCTTTTAATCTTGGCTCAAATGTATACTTAGTTTTACATTGGTATAGCCTGACAACATTTTTGTTTTTTTTAAACTTAACACTGTAAGTAATTTTCCATGTTGCGATGTGGATTTCATAATTGGTATTTTTAATAACTACATAATAATCTATTAATTATTTAACCATTCCCTGTTCTAGGACATTTAGATTCTCTGTGTGTGTGTGTCTCTCCTTTTTGTGTTGTTTTAATAATGCTGTACACTTCAAAAAAAAAGTCAAGGTTGTATAGATTTTTTTTTTAATGGAGATATGGAGATTGAACCCAGGACTTCATGCATGCTAGGCATGCGCTCTACCACTGAGCTACCCCATACACCATTCCCCAGTGCTGTACACTTGCATATAGCTTTTGGGAAATTTTGTTCTTAGGATAAATTTCTGGCAGTGGGATTCCTGGACCCAAGGATTTGCTCCTTTTCTGGCTCTGTGCAGCTACTGTACTGCTTTCTATAAGAGTTGTATCAGTCTGTATCCATAAAGGTTTCAATATGAACACATAGGAAATATGGGAGTAAGGAAGGCTCTGGGATGCTGAAGCAATGCAGGATATGGGCAGAACAAGGGAGATAGTGGGATTTTTCTTCCTCTTTCCTGCAGGTTTGAGCCAGCCAGCGTCATGTTTCATCTAAGTGTGAGTGTTTTAGTAATTTCCTAATGGAAGGCCTCTTTTCTAAGGTTAGTAATTTCCTATTGGAAGACCTCTTTCCTAGGGCCTTGGATTTCCATTGCTGCAGTAGTTTTGTAGCTCTGCTTCTCCAGATCATGAAGGAAATGGGTGGATATTCTTTCCTTTGTGTATTAAGTTAAAATAAAATTTAGGGCTTCTCTAGAACTGTTCTCTAGCCAGATTGATAACTGTGTGTTTCTTTGAGAGTCACCCTGTCCCTCAGGTTTAGTTGTCCATTCACCAACCAATAACAGATTTGGGGTGAAAATTAAGGAATCAAGCAGATACTGATTAGAGAAAAAAATACCTAGGGGCTGATATATTTTGCTAGAGTTTGCTTATGAGACAGCTTAAATTCTGGCAATAGTAAATCATTCTGGATCTGATTGAATTCATGTGGCAAAAAGCCAAGTTATACAAAGTTAAGGATTACTTACTAAGAGTAAATTATCAGAAGTTATAGCCAAGACTCATATGAATCAGAAGTTTTCTAAAGAAAGAAGGTACTGAGCCATGCTTTTTTTTCTTTTTCTTCTTTTTGAAGGGCTGAGTGGTTGGTTTTTTGCTGGTGCTTATAATCATGAGCAGTGATATTCCCTGAGAAATTGAGGGAGTATGAGGCTGTGGTATGAGTGTACCCTCTTTTTGGCTGTGCAACCAACCAGAAATTTCCAGGTATTGGTGTTTAGGGCCTGCCAGACAGGCTTGTCACTACATATTAACTTTTCTTTCCACTCCTCCCCCAATGTCCCCAGCATTTTGGAAACCTGTTGGAGTAAAACTCAGGTGTGTGACTTGCCATAGTGCAGGGGTTTATGCAGGGGTTTGTGCATGAGCGTGCTGGCTGCGTGTGTGTGAGCGTGATGGGTATGCGATGGAAGATGATGCTGGACGGAGCCCAGTGGGGTCCTGGTGATCACTGATTCTGTTCTCTGTTTCCCTTATAGCCCTTGCCAGCGTCCAGCCATGGGGGATATGAAAACTCCAGATTTTGATGACCTTCTGGCTGCCTTTGATATCCCAGACCCCACCAGCCTTGATGCCAAGGAGGCCATCCAGACCCCCAGTGAGGAGAATGAGAGTCCCCTCAAACCTCCAGGCATGTGTATGGATGAGAGTGTGTCCTTGTCTCACTCAGGATCAGCCTCAGATGTGCCGGCTGTGAGTGTCATTGTCAAGAACACCAGCCGCCAGGAGTCATTTGATGCGGAGAAGGATCACATTGCTCCCAGCCTGCTACACAATGGATTCCGGGGCTCGGACCTGCCTCCAGATCCCCACAACCTGGGCCACAACTGTGGGAAGTTTGATTCCACTTTCATGAATGGAGATAGTACCAGGAGTTTCCCTGGCAAGCTGGAACCTTCCAAGTCAGAGCCGTTACCAACTTTTAACCAGTTCAGCCCAATCTCCAGCCCAGAACCCGAGGATGCCATCAAAGATAATGGGTTCGGGATAAAGCCCAAGCACTCTGACAGTTATTTCTCACCTCCTTCTGGGTGTGGGCCTGTGGGGGGCCCTGTTCTGGAGGCTCTGACTAAGTTTCCAGTCCCAGAGCTGCATATGTTTGATCACTTTTGTAAGAAAGAACCCAAGCCGGAGCCCCTGCCCTTGGGGAGTCAGCAGGAGCACGAGCGAGGTGGGCAGAAGGCAGTGGAACCTCACAAGGAGCTGGATGCCAGTCGATTCTTTGGGGACGCTTTGGAGTTCAACAGCCACCCCGGCAACAGTTTCGGAGAGCCTAAGGGGCTTGCCGCGGAGCTCGGTGCCTGCTCGTCAGTACCCCCGAGGCAGCGTCTGAAGCCAGCTCATTCCAAGCTGTCCTCTTGTGTTGCAGCCTTGGTGGCCCTGCAGGCCAAACGAGTAGCCAGTGTCACAAAGGAGGATCAGCCCAGCCACACAAAGGATCCCTCAGGGCCCACTAAAGAGGGTTCCAAAGGCAGCCCCAAAATGCCCAAGTCACCAAAGAGTCCCCGGAGCCCTCTGGAGGCCACTAGAAAAAGTATCAAGCCATCAGACAGCCCTCGGAGCATCTGCAGTGACAGTAGCAGCAAAGGCTCCCCTTCTGTGGCTGCCAGCTCCCCACCAGCAATACCCAAAGTCAGAATCAAAACCATTAAGACATCATCAGGGGAAATCAAACGGACCGTCACAAGGATCCTGCCAGACCCTGACGATCCCAGTAAGTCCCCTGTCGGGTCACCTCTAGGAAGTGCCATCACTGAGGCTCCGAGCGAGGTGCCAGAGGATGAGATCACTGCTGTGCCTGTGGCAGAGCACTTTCCTGAGGTGGGCGCAAATTCAGGGAGCCCCCAGGGTGACAGAAAAGGGGATGAGAGCGTGACGAAAGCCAGTGAATCTTCGTCTTCCTGCTGCAGCTCTGGGTCCCGTGGCCCAAAGGGGGCTGCCTCAGGCTCACAGATGGGCAAGAAGCAGCAGCAGAGCACAGCACTGCAGGCATCCACTCTGGCCCCTGCCAACCTCCTGCCCAAAGCCGTGCACCTGGCCAACCTGAATCTGGTCCCCCACAGCGTCGCCGCCTCAGTGACGGCCAAGTCCTCAGCGCAGCGGCGGAGCCAGCCACAGCTCACGCAGATGTCGGTGCCCCTGGTCCACCAGGTGAAAAAGGCCGCCCCCCTGGTTGTGGAGGTCTTCAACAAGGTCCTCCACAGCTCCAACCCCGTGCCCCTCTACGCGCCAAATCTCAGCCCGCCTGCTGACAGCAGGATCCACGTGCCGGCCAGTGGGTACTGCTGCCTGGAGTGCGGGGACGCGTTTGCCTTAGAGAAGAGCCTCAGCCAGCACTACAGCCGGCGGAGCGTCCACATCGAGGTGCTGTGCACACTGTGCTCCCAGACGCTGCTCTTCTTCAACAAGTGCAGCCTGCTCCGGCACGCCCGTGACCACAAGAGCAAGGGGCTCGTCATGCAGTGCTCCCAGCTGCTCGTGAAGCCCATCTCTGCGGACCAAATGTTCGTGTCGGCCCCTGTGAACTCTCCGGCACCAGCAGCCCCAGCCCCACCCTCCTCCCCCAAACATGGCCTTGCTTTGAGCAGTGCCAGCCCTCCCCTTCCAGCTTTGCCACTCTACCCAGACCCTGTGAGGCTCATCCGGCACAGTGTCAAGTGTCTCGAATGTCACAAGCAGATGCGTGACTACATGGCTATGGCTGCACATTTCCAGAGGATGACGGAGGAAACCGAGGGGCTGGTAAGCAGACCCTCCCTGTGATAGGTGTCAGGCCCCTGGTTCACACGGGTTCCATGACTGGGCATGGAGAGAAGAGCTCATTGATATGGGGGCAGTGGTGGCATCTTAAGAGTCTTAGAAGAGGAATCTGGCTTGATGGTTAGCGACCCGCCTGGATGTATAGTGTTTGGTGTTGATGAAAGCATCCTGCCCACAACTGAGGGGAGACCCTGAAGATCTAACGAGTGTATATGGACACTCCGCACCCACTCCAGTGGGCTGTCAGGACCGATTGTCGGGCCTGGGCTAGGTCTCTGCTGGACATCCCCTGGTCCTTGGCGGCTGTCAGCACAGTCCATGCATGTGCCCAGAGGACTTGGGGGCAGAGGTAGGTGCATCGCTGCCCTGCGTCTCAGCCTCTGCTTCTAAGAACCCTGTCTTTACCAAGTTGTTGTGCTCCAGAGTGGACACAGCTGTTTTTGCAGGGAAGCTGTAACAGGGCGGGCGGCAGGGCTGATGTGGAAGGAAGGAGACTACAAGGATGTGTCAGCCCCGAGGCAAAGGCTTTGGGGCCCCTTCAGAAAACAACTGTGCTTATGTCTTGTTCAGATTCTTGGTTATGCTTGTTGAGGGTGTGTGTGTGTGTGTGAAGGCATATACCCTTTGGCACCCTCTGTGTCAGTGATTGAAGAAGCAGGCCTCCAGAAGGCTCTTTGCCTCCTTCTCCAGGTGGCTCTCTTCACGACTTAGCCAAGCCCACCCCCTCACTGAGCCTCCCTAAGCTAGGGCCACAGAGGCCTGGAAGGAAAGCAAAACAGCTCTTTTAACTTCAGTTCACAGCGGCCCGCATACCTGTTGGTGTCTCGATGAGCTCTGCACACATGTTCCGAGTGCCCAGTGTGGGCATGGAGGCTGTGTCAAGTGCAGGGATGCCCTAGGAGGGAGTCGCACCATTCTTCCAGGAGCTCATGATGGTTTGGTGTGGGCAGGGTTTCCCACCCAGGCAGCTACAGTGTGTGGCAGGCTAAGACTGGGGCTAAAACAGCCTTGTAAACAAGGTTGTGTAGAGTTCTTCAGAGGGACTAATTCATCGTGGTTCCAGGCATAGGGAAGGTGCTGTGTGGACGTGACATTTGAGTTGAACCTGCAAGGTCGAGGGATAAGGGTTGTTCCAGGTATAGGGAGCAAAGTTATGGGAAAGTGCAAGGTGGTTTGAGGACCAGGAAGTTGTTTGGAGTGTTGAGGTAGAGACAGAAGGTGGAATTTGGTGGGCAGCCCCCAGAAGGGGCCAGCATGGTGCCGTAAGTCGCTGTTGCCTCTCATTTTCACCTTCTCTGTTTGGTTTGCATTTTCTTTCTGATGAGTCAGGTACAGTGTGGCTCCCAGGCCCTTTCCTCAGGGGCTTCAGGTATTCTTGCTGTACCAGCATCGTTGCCTTGGGCAGGATCACTTCTTCTGGGTCATGTGATCAGAACCACTGCCAGTGGAGGTGTGGTACCTGCACCACTCTGTTCTTCACCCTCTTTTTTAAAAACCGAGCAGGCTGAGGTCTAGGTGTAGGATCCCAGACCAGCACCTTCTTATCCTGCATATTCTCTGTTTCATTCTCCTCTAGTGGGAGCTGGACAAGAGGACCCCCCAGAGAGAAAGAAAGGGAGTACCCAGGAAGACTGTCAGGGTCCGCTCAGTCTAGCTCAATTCCCTCAAAAAT